ACACACACACACACACACACACACACACACACACACACACACACAGGTTGTCCCAGTAGCCTGGGATAAAGGACTGCCAAAATGACACTTTCTATGTGAAGATTTTTTCTGGATTTTACACAGTACAGTATCCGCATTCTAGTTGGATCCCTGGTAAAGTATTCTAAAGTGGGAGTATAGTTAAGTTTTGCTGTCTACTCTGTACTTGATCATTTTGATTGACCATACATACTTGTCCTTACTTGCCATAACAGCTCCTTATAGTGTATGTTTTTGTTCCTATTTTACAGGAGAAAATTTAGACTGAGAAATGTTAAGTCATTTTTCTGAGTGTACACAGCCATAGTGGCAAAGCCAAAACTCCGATCCAGGGCTGTCTGGTTATTTCCAGCTGGTCAGGCTGTCTGGTTGTATTTTTTGTGGAGAATTTAGAAATAGTACAGTGAAGGAAGGCAACAGACACAATTGGATTTCAGATAAACTGATCCAATAAAAAAAAGTCTAAATATGTGAGGCACATTTAGCTAAAGAGAAAAAGAGTCCGAGGGAAGTTTTGTGACTGTCATCATCCATCTTCAGTGAGAACAGGTGTATAGATTTTCTGTTTCCAGTGATGACAGAAAAAGGGAATGTGTTTAAATTGCAGTACAGATTAGGGTGCAGTGTTAAAAGAATGGTTAAAAAATGTTTACACATTCAATAGAGATCAAAATTTGAAATTAATTTCTAGGCCACTCAAGACAAAAAAGGGAACACTTGAAATACTGACATAATTAAAGTAATAATTCATCTTGAATTTTCAAAACAAGTATGCCAGTTTATATACATGGACACCAAACTTAAAATTTATTACATATAACTAATATATAAAATAATATTGTAGAATCCTCATGTCTAATAGTTTTTAAGAAAAAAAATAATAAACTGTCAACTTTTGGGGATGTTTTAAATTTATGCTCTCTAGTTCAAAAGTTGTATCAAATGAGCTCCTGAGAAGTTCTTCTAATTCTTTGATTCAATTTTCAACAGATCATATTTTATTTAAACAATGCTATTCTTTTATTAATGATATTTACTGTTTCCAGCTCTGTATTTCCAACAGATTTCTTGAAGATAATGTGTGCTACTTGTTTCTTTTCTTTTCCTCTTTTTCTTCTTGCCCCAACCCCCACCAAAAAACAACAAGCTTCTGTATTTGTCTTAGTGAACTCAACCAGGCAATTTGAGTACATGTGTGTAATAAGTTCTGTGTGTTGAGCTTATTATTTGGGGGCTCTTTATCTGGAAGGTGACTCTCCTAGTGTCCACCTGGTAATCATGGATGCTAAGATCCATGGATATAGAGAGCCACAGAGGGGCATGGGGGTTACAGCACATTTGTGAGCAGAAGTAGTGAAAAATTATGGCTTGCCAATATTTTGAGCCACTCAGTCATTTTTGGACCTTCCTGTAGGCTATGATTAAGGGTTGGCTTCCAACCTATTCATCCATAAATGCTATTATTTGGGGAAATGTTTGAAATACTGTGATTAAAACTTGTCCTTCTTGACATTCACATAAAGGTACATGCATGTGACGTCTTCATTTTTTTTTTTTTTTTTTTGGTCAATTTAAATGCAATATCTTAGTCCCTTAAAATCATATGGTGGCTTATTACCATCTTTAGATTCACCTTAAAGGAATTTTCAATGTATGTAGTAGTCTGTATGTTAAGGTTTATTTTTTCTTTATTTTCTTTGATCTCTAGTTCTTACCCCCCTCCCCCCATCTTTCTGCTAAAGGCCATCTCTGGTAGTTTCAGTTAAGGGATGGATTTTATCTTTTCGGTCTAAACATAGATTTGGATTCAATATAATGATTTCTTTCAAAAAAGTAAGGTGGTAATCCTGTGAAAATCTGTTATAGTTTTGGCTTAGGTGACCTGTTGTTGTTTTTTTAACATTTATTCATTTTTGAGAGACAGAGCTCAAGTGGGGGAGGGACAGAGAGAGGGAGACACAGAATCGAAGCAGGCTCCAGGCCCTGAGCTGTCAGCACAGAGCCTGACATGGGGCTCAGACCCACAAACCAAGAGATCATGGCCTGAGCCAAAGTCGGACACTTAACTGACTGAACCACCCAGGTGCCCCATGGTGACCTGTTTTCTTAAACAGCCCCATGAATACCTCCCTAGTACCTTCCTTTTGATTTTTATTTTCTCAGTTTTGCTAAACTTTCAAATGTATTTGGAACGAGCAAATTGAAATGAAACTTTAACTATAAAATAGTTTTGCTAGAGTATTAGAGTAAGAGGCAGGGGTTTATTTTCAACTGTACATACAGGGCTCCTTGATCATGAATGTTAGTCTTCTACCTGTCTTGGAAAGAAAGATGAGTCCTCATTTTCTTGAACATGGAATCAGAAAGCATAAATGAAACAAGAATTGTAAGCCCATGTTATAGTCCAGGAAGTTTCCTATGCTAGATTTAATGTTTCATATTGAGATTATTTTCCTTATACATGTAACAAACCCATAGATATTTGATGATTGGGAATCCAGTTTATGTAAGCTTTACACTTGTTTTCATTTGTAGTGATATCTATTTGGTGTGGTTCTAATTTTAATTAACTCCATTGACTCAGAAGAGAGGAAAACAAATGTGAGGAAGACTGTGTAGAATTTGAAAAGTTAGCAAGTAAAAATGATTATATCAAAGTATTTTCTCCTTAGACAATGTGAATGATATTATGATAGATTTGATCAGTACTGGGAGGTAAAGAAGGGCTGTATTGTAAAAACTTTCTAAAAACTGTTACAAATTTCTTTCACAGTCTGACTGCCCATACTCAGAAAAAGTTCCAAGTATTAAAATCCCAATGGACATCATGGAACAGCAACCTTTCCTAAGAGATAGCAAACCTTCCGACAGTGAGTAGAACTAACCTCTTTCATGACTGCTCAAATATGATTTGTACTTGCAGAGAAAAATCTTTAGAATTATCATTTAATTTCCCCTCTATTTTCTTCCTGTTTCTCTATTTGAAGATTTATACTTCATTATTATAAAACTCCATTTTTTACATCCTGGAGCTTCACTCTTCTTTCTTTTATCCATAACCTTCTAAGTTTTTGTTTGGTAGTCTTTTCTCTGACCCAAGTTCCCACCAGTTTCTTTCAATTGCTAAACTTGTAACCATGTTTTTAATTGATTTTTCTTTTTTTTCTGCTGGTATTTAGAATTGCAGCTTATAGTAGTACATCACTGTCTATTACCGTTTTGTCTTCCTTAGGCTTTATTTAGCCAATGACCAAATGAGCTCAAGAGAGAAATTGCATCATAGGTCTCTAAATGATCAGTAAATCAGTTGTCCGTATTGAGAATTTGGAGTAATTGTTATTTTCAATTAAATTAGCAATCATAAAATATTAACAAAACTTTTTAGGTATTACTTACAAGATATAGTACATTTTCTTCCTAATTTCTTTATTCCTTTCCTGCTATTTTAAAAACACCTTTTTAAGTGGACTGGTTTTTCAGGGGTAATAGCCTGGTGACTAAGGTGGAACGGTTTCTGACATACCATCTTTTCTTTTGTAATTGAGTTAACAGGCCACTTGAAGAAAGGGGAAAACCTCCGAAGTAACACTAGTGAATAGCTCAAGCTTTTCCAATATCAAGTAGCAGTTGCTTCCAAACTACTTTCCCTCTGGGTTCTCATTTGAAGAAAATGTATTCTTTCAGATCCAGATGTACTTCAAAGTTTACTGATCTGTTATGAGAAAAAAAGACAGTTGAGACACTTTGACTTCTGTTTGACAATGCCACTTCCACTTCAGGAAGAGGTTGCCAAGAAAAGTGTGAAATGAATGACTGTTTATGAAAATTGGGCATATTAGTTTCCTGTCGCTGTGTAACAAATTACCAAAACATTCAGCAGCTTAAAACAACAAATATATATTTTCTTCTATAGTTCCGGATGTTCAGGAATTTAGGAACAGCTGATTTAGGTGGTTCTGGCTCTAGCTACTCGTGAGACAGCAGACAAGCCTTTGGCGGGGGCTAAGCTTGAAGACAATGGGAACTGGGATCTGCTTCCATGTTCATGCGCAAGGCCATTGGCAGGAGGTTTCAGTTCCCTGGACCATGGGCATCTCCCCGTAATATAGGTTCCCCCAAGCCCAGTGAGAACAGAGAGAGAAACCAAGGCAGAAGCAGCAGTCTTTTATAACTGAATCTCAGAAGTGACATGCCATCACTTCTGCCATGTTCTAAGGGTCACACGCCAACCAACCCTGGTACAACATGGAAAGGAATGACACAAGGACATGAATGCCAGGAGGCACCAGGAAGGCTGGGAGGCCATCTTGGAGGCTGGCTGCCACACTGGGTTTTAAGAACAATTAAAGCAGTCTCAGCTCTGATGCCCAGTCTGTAACCCATGACATGTAACGAGGCTAATTTCTTCTCAGTCCCATTAGCAGGATTTAGTTAATATTTCTTTTTTCAATTCAAGCTTCTCAAACTATATTCTGGCTTCATTTTTCATTTTATTAATGCATTCATAGCAAAACAAAACTGTGTAAGGGACACGGCACGTATGTCTTCTGTTGGCATCATGACCTAGGATAGCCCTTCTAAGTACAGTTTAAAGGCTGCTGCAAAAAAATAAAAAATAAATAAAAAACACCACCAGCTAGAATTGGAGGCTCATGAAGAAAGTTGTATGGCAAAATGGTTCTTTTAGTGGTAGCTGTTATTCATTCTCTCAGAAATCCATTAGAAAGGTGCATGGAACAATTGATATGAATTAGAAATTTACTTAAGCAAAATATCTCTGATCATTCTAACTGAAATCTTTTCTAATGCCATATTAGTCTTTTATAATTCATGAAAGAACAAAATTGTTAGTAGAGGTGCAGGAAAATTAAGTTCCTCAAAATCTTCTTCTCCCCCCATGAATAACAGCAGGGCAAAACTGGGTGCCGAAGAAGAAAGGAAATCCAAGGGCAAAACTTAAGACATTAAGTAGATCCTCTACAAATGTTTGGCCTCCTACCCCCTCACCGAAAAGAACAGCGGTCCATCCCATTGTATTCACCCAGAGGAAATGAAGCTAACAGATTTTTATCTTCATCACATTAGTTAGATTCTTAGGTCAATACGATGTCTATTGAAATTGTCTAAGTATGCCTTTCTCTTTCCCATTGTAATGCATCAATTTTTATGACAATTTTTATTTTTACTCAAATTTTATATGTTCCCTAAGTCTGCTGTTTATGATTTAAAGAATTTTTTTTTTCCCAGGAGAAAGATCACCAACATTCCTTGAACGCCACACATCATGCTGATAAAATTCCTTTCCTTCAGTCACTCGGTATGCCAAGGTAAAGGACAACTCGGTATTTTACATTGTTCTATGGGATGATTGCCCCTCAGAAGTGTAGCCCATGGTGGATTATTGGCAGAATACCTTGTTTCCTGTCCTGTCTACAAGTTATCTGAAATCACTTACCCAATCCCCGAACCTCTCCCCAGCTTTTATGTAGAAAGTGTTCTACGAGGCCTACTATACTGCGAAGTAATGGAACTTTCATTGTCATTAAGGTAAAGCCCAGGACTCACATTCGCTTTTATTGCTTCCGCATCATCTCTGTTTGAAGGGTAACTGCTGGCAGCTCTCCAGTAGTTTTCTTCCCTAATCTTAACACGGCTGCAGAGACCTCAGACCCTCCTTGATTTTCCGAAAAGCAAAACTCATGAATATTTTCTTCATGTAAGTCTGTTTGTCCCTTTAATTTCTCACGGTATCACCTGCATGGCCGTCCTTCTTCTTGATTTTTGTGTGTGTGTTTTTTTTGAAACCTAGGTATGAAATTTTTAAGAAATTTTTTACTTGAATTTCTTGACTCTTCTGGTACCTTCCTCCCATTTAAGAATGTTTGTGTTTAATACAGAAAGAGCAGATAAGTATTTTAAAGAGAACAAAGGACAGACCCATCCAGCTTCTGCACAGTGCAGAAGTATATTTGACACATGATAAAGGAAATCTGATTTACTTACTATTTCCTTTCTTTTCTTTTTTCTCCAGTCCTCCTAGAACTCCAGTAAAAGTTGTGCCTCAAATTAGGATAGAACTTGAGCCTGAAGACAATGATTATTTCTGGAGGAGCAAGGGAACAGAAACTACATTGTAACCTGTTTGTCTTTCTTTAAAATTGACAGTTTTTGTTGTTAATGTTCTGGGGTTTTGTCTGGTTGTTTATTTTTTAATTTTTGTTTTGTTTTGGGTTTTGGTCATTGGCCAAATAATATAGTGCTCACTCTGCTTCTCTCTTGCATAGGTAAAATCAAGACCATACTGCACTGTTCCTTAAAAACATCTGAAGAATCCCCTTTTCTTTTCACACTTTCAGATGTGTCCTCTGACAACCAAATTCCTCTGTCACTGAAGACACACACAGACCCTGTCCTTTTCCTTTATTAAGCAGAGGGCAAAAGTATTAAGGATTTTGTAACACCTTTTTAACGTATTGAAGGAACTTACAACTAGCTTTGGAGCTGTGCTTACTGGCTTGTCTGTCTGCCTGGTAGAATAAACCTTGACCTCCAGGCAGAGTCCCTTCTTGCTTCTAGAGCTTTCCAGGACTGGAAAAAGTGCTGCAATGCGAACTTGCTCTTGCTTGTAAGCCCTAATCTTAGAGTTATCAAAAGAAGAAAAACTAAAGGTACTTAACTCCCTGTAGAGAAACTGTTGCCATCATTGTAGCAAGTGCTGGAATATCCCTTTTTCCTATGCAACTTTTTTTAACCCTTTAATGAACTTATCTGTTGAGTACATTGAAGAATATTTTTCTTCGTAGATTTTGTTGTTTAAATTATGGGGCCTAACCTGCAACTTATTTTTTGTCAATTTTTTAAACTTTTTTTTAATTACTGTAAAGAAAATGAATTTTTTCCTGCAGCAGGAAACATAGTTTTGAGTAGTTCTACCTCTTATTTGTAGCTGCCAGGCTTTCTGTAAAAATTGTATTGTATATAATGTGATTTTTACACACACACACACACACACACACACACACACACACACACAC